AACTGCTTTTTGCAAATCAGGTTCCTCATTCCAAACCCTGGGATGTAATCAATACCTTTGTGATCTTTGCCTATATAAATCTGGTATTGCGGTCATCTTATCGCTATGAGATTTAGGAAATCGCCCCTCATAGTCCCGGATTTGCAATAAATGTGACTCTTTAATTCGACTTCCTGAGGCGTCCTTCTGTGATTCGCGGGGTACATTACAACACCTATCCCTTTACTTGAACATTCACCAATACAGATGAGTTCAAATATCACTTTCACAGTGAAACCTTCCCCAACATTCCTCACCTAGACTTAGCACATTTAGTCATCCTTTGCCCCTCTACAAGAATTCAGCATGATGTTTATAGGCGTTTGATAAACACTGACAAAATTTTGAAAGCATACACATGCTTAATTAAGTGAGGCCATAAACTGTTAAAAGCCACGGTTAAAAACCACAAGGATAGTCCATACAACTATATACAGGGATGGGCAAAAGCAGACTTACACTTGTCCTTATGGAAAATAATACAATAACTAATAAATAAACAAGAATAAACTGTTTCATGTACTCACATATATATACATATACTAACATTAAAAATATAGTCTTACACCTTGTATGCATATATGCATAATCCATGGACACACATAATAGGGTGCTAAAGGCCTGAGGTGGGGTAGGAGAGGGCTGGAGGCGGTCAATGGAGGAAAAAAGGGGACGTGTGTAATACTTTCAATAATAAATTATTATTTTAAAAATATATATATAGTGTTAGATAGCAGGCTCAGGGCTCTTGGAGGGGGTGGAGTGATTAAGAAAAAAACTAAAAAATCATGCACATGGACAACAATGTAGGGATTGCAGGGAGGGGGGAGGTGGAGGGGAGTATAAGGGGGAATAAATGGTGATGGAAGGAGACTTGGTGCGGTGAACACACAATACAGTGTACAGATGATGTGCTGTGGAATTGTGAGCCTGAAACCTGTATATTTTGTTAACCAGTGTCACCCCAAAAATTGAGTAAAAAGGGGAAAAGTAAATAAATGAAACAAAGAGTTTGTTTTTGTGTAAAAAAATTATATGTATATATATATATATACATACATACACATATATATTTATGGTCTTGGTTATATTTGCAATCACATTGAATCATAGATTATTAAAACTCCAGATGTATAAACTACTTCACCTTAAATAGTGGTAAATGTTAACCACCTAGAATGTCACGGCAAAAATAATCTTAACCAGAAAATACTTAGTTGCTTCCCATTCAATAAAGTTTCACTTAGAGCTTCAAAATCCCTGCAATGGGACAAATTCATTTAATTGAAAAAGAACAAACCAAAGATAAGAAAAAAATGTAATTAGATTCCTGAAGGTCAGCCAGCCTGCATTGAAATTTTCCGTCATCACCTTTGAACAATTCTCAAGGCAATGATTTAGTGTAAAAAAAAAAAAAAAAAAAAAAACCAACACACCATTCTCCATCATACTCTATAACTGATAAGGGAAATGTAGACATGCAAACAACAATTTAACACAAGAGCCAAAATAAAGTTGTGTCCAGAAAGAAGCTAGAGTGTTGGCGATCTGCTTCCACTACGTTTGGGCGCCTCCAATATTAAATAACGCCTTACGTATCCAAGGGAAGCTTTACAATTCAGAAGCAAGTTTACGTAAGACCTGTAACTTCAGCAGAGCAGGATTTAAGACATTACAAACCCAGGAAAAACGCAGATAGAAGACTGGCCAAAGAAATGTAGCCCTTCGGTTCCAAAAAGAAGTAGTCTTACTACAACAAAATGGCCCAAGAAAACTGAGCCCGCGCGCGCACACACACACACACCTTTATTCCATCACTAAATTTAGCTCTGGGTACCTACTGATCAGCTCTGGGTGACCCCGCTGATCGAATGAACGTCCAATTTTCAAATCCTGATAACCGGGACCCAAAGTCCCCTCACCTCCCGGCCTCTCTCCAAGTGACACTAACTTCACAAGCAAGTCCAAGCCCCAAGTCTCAGAACAGTTTACATAGGAACACACCCTCGGCGCGCACCCAGCAGACTCCCCGAGGTCAGAGCCGGATCCAGAGTAGCCTGGAGAGAATCCGGGGGACCCAGCTTGGCGCGGCATGCGGGGGGGTGGGAGCCCCGCAAACGGCTCTGTCAAACAGGAGGCGGAGTAAGAGGGATCCGACAGGAGACCGGTTGCCCAGAAGGGCTCGGGGCGCCAGACCCCCAACCCTCGGGTCTGGGCACTGTCCACCCACACACACAGCTGGGGCGGCTCCGCCTCCCGACCCCGAGTCCAGTCGCCAGGCCAGGCCCCTCCACTCCCAGGCACCTCGGGGTGGCTCCGAGCGTCCCCGCCCTAGGAAACGGCAACCCCAAGGGTCCCCGGGGGCGGACACCCACCTGGCCGCGCCCAGCTGAGGACTGGGCCCACCAAGCCCAACAACAGCAGCCACTGGAAGCGGAGTGTCCCAAAGGGCGAGCCCGCGCGGGATCCCATCGCGGCCGATTCCGCAGGTTCCATTGCTCAGCATTCGGTCGCTCCTGCCGCCGTCCGCTCCATCCCTCCCCAACCCCGCCGGGGCCCCAGAGCTGGCAGGGACGCGCGCGCCCGGGGACGAACACGCGCTCGCCACTGACGCTATTTGTCCGAGCTCGCTCCCGACTTCGCGCTCGCTACCGCTGACGTAGGGAAAAAGCGAGTCCCCGGCGAGAACTGGAATTGCTATCTGGACGCCGCCAGCCGCACTCGGCTGCCCCGCCCACCCACTGTCCGCGCCCGTTTCCACTCCCAGCCCCGCCTCCTGCGGGCGTCGGAGGAACCGATTGGAGGAAGCGCTCAGAGCAGAAAGAGGAGGAGCGTGAGACTCCCAAGAGGCATTGAGGAGCCGAAGCAAAGCGCAGCCCCGCCCCCCTGCGCAGCCTCTTGTGATTGGTTTTCTGGGGCTTGGGGGCGGGGCGCCGGGCTGCGCGTCCATTGGCTGTTTGGCAGCGAAGAGCGGGGCTGCGGAAGAGGCCTGACCTGGCAGGGCTCGGATCCCGGTGCCTGCCGGGGCTTGTGGTTGCGGAGGCCCGGTGTCCGCCGCTGGGCCCGGGAAGATGGTGCTGGGCGGTTGCCCGGTGAGTTACTTACTTCTCTGCGGCCAGGCGGCCTTGCTGCTGGGGAATCTGCTTCTGCTGCATTGTGTCTCTCGGAGCCACTCGTTCAACGCTACCGCGGAGCCCGAGCTCACGTCCGCTGGCGCCGCCCACCCGGAGGTCTCCGCTGGCGCTCCCAGCTGGGAATATGGCGACCCCACCTCTCCAGTCATCCTGTGCTCTTTCCTGTAAGCTACCCAGTCGTCGAGACAGGTGGAGATGGCGAGAGGGCAAGGGATAGAGGGGGTGTTGTGTTGGGGGAGGAGGAGAGGAAGGATGCTTTGGGGGTTTTTCCCGGACCCTCCCCACCGGAGGACCTGATAGTCCACACGCGGGAGGTAAATATCATGCAGGTTTCTCAGTCCTCGACTCGGTGCACGGGGAAACCTGGGGTGTGGGTGACAGGTCCTTTGGGATCCCGAAGGAGGAGGACTAGGGAGGCGTGACATCATACAGCCTCCGGAAGAAGGGTAGGGTAGGAGGTGGTGCCTTCTCTGTCCCCGGTTTGACCCGAAAGAGATTCCTTCGTAGGGGCTGGTGCTGTGTGAGCCACAAATGAAGTAAATTACTTGCCCCTGCCTACAAGGTACTTCCGGGGGTGGGGGAGAGAAAGAAACATTCTTACCGTTACAAAACCAAGTCATTTTTTAACATCTCTTTTTAGTCAAGTAAGAAAAGGCGTTTGGGAAATTCAAGGGGAACTGGGAATCCTTTGGCCTTAATCTTGCTCCCATAGCCTTGCGGATGTTTTCCCAGAGAAGAGTTGAAGCTATGGCAGCAGTAGAATCCGAGCAGAAATAGGACCAGAAACAACCCCTGCCCCAATGAACGGGTCATTTGGATGGATGGCTGTCTGTCTGGCCTGCCGTGCTTCAGTCTGATTGACACCATCTGTCTTGGGGAAGAATCAGAGTGAGATTAAACCCCAGAAAACTTGAAGAGATGTCTCTTGCCTGTTTTGATTGTATACATGTAAGCAGCGAATTGCAAAGACCATGTGATGATCATGATCTTACTGGTGATTTATAGACCTGATGAATTCATAGAATGTGAAGACCCAGTGGATCATGTTGGAAATGCAACTGCATCCCAGGAACTTGGTTATGGTTGTCTCAAGGTGGGTTTTTGTTTTGTTTTGTAAGCAAACTCATCCAGAAATGTGCAGGGTCTTATTAGAATATTAGAGGCCGGATGCTCGAAACTCGTGCATAGGTAGGACCCCTAGGCCTGGCCAGCAATCAGGGCCAATCTGCAGGGGAATGTCCCTTCCCCACCCCTGTGGGCTGGGGGCAGCTCCTGTGTTGAGCATCTGCCCCCTGGTGGTCAGTGCATGTCATAGCACTGGTCATTTCGCTGTTCAGTCAATCTGCATATTAGGCTTTTATTATATAGGATGTCTTTGTAGGAGATTATAGGATTCAAGGAGAAGCCTTTAGTAACAATGGCCTCTTTGAATGGAGAGAAGCTATTTGGTTCCATTAATAATATCTCTAAAGCTAGGTGCACATTGCCTAGTCCAGTGATGGCGAACCTTTTGAGCTTGGCATGTCAGCATTTTGAAAAACCCTAACTTAACTCAGGTGCCATGTCACATATAGAAATTTTTTGATATTTGAAACCATAGTAAAACAAAGACTTATATTTTTGATATTTATTTTATATATTTACATGCCATTTAACAAAGAAAAATCAACCAAAAAAATGAGTTTGCGTGTCACCTCTGGCATGCGTGTCATGGGTTCACCATCACTGGCCTAGTCAGACTCCCAAAAACTAGTGAAATTCATGTGCGTTCTCCCCATTAAGGACGCACCCATTATGTTATATTTGCTGTATAATGCAAATCAAGACAGGTGTAACAAAATTATGAGAAAATATTTTTTTTACTCTTTTTTAAATTCTTTATTGTTTAAAGTATTATGTTAGTCTCCTTTTTCCCCCCATTGACCTCTCCCCGGCCGCTCCCACTCCTCAGCACATGCCCTCACCCCCCATGGGAAAATATTCTTTGTACTAAATCAGATACAGAGGAATAAACCTGGAAGTACTAAAACTAAAAAGACAACTTATATTGTAATCAAGTATAAATAAATATTCTCAGTACAGTGAGATTTTATCCTATCGATATTTATGGATAAAAGTTTGAGTTAGCATTGTTTAGAGATCACGTAATTGTAAATATTTTAATTAAAAACTGAATTGATCCTGTCAAGGCCCTCAAACTCACTTCCCCAAAGTCCTAGAGGACTGGCAGCGCTCAGGTACCTGAGTCCCTGGGAGAGTACAAGGAATAAGCATCGTTTTTCCTACTCTCTTCCCTTTGAGAAATGCTCCAACAAAAACAATAGTGATGCATTTAATAAGGTGTCAGTAGAGAATGTACAGCTGTGCTTATTACTCTTTTAGAATTCAGTTACACAAAGGGTCAGAGGTCCTATTCTGAAGTTCTTTGCTGGAATTTAAACATACTGTAGATGTACTACAAATATCTGTTCATCACACAGTCATGACCTAAATAAAGTCCTGAGTCAGTTGATATTCTGAGTTCTTTCCTAGTTATGTTCATTTATAATATATATAAAACAGACTTCTAATATAAGGTCAACTTTTTAGATACCCATTCCCAAGTGCTCAGTAGTATGCTGAGTTCTTTCCTAGTTATGTTCATTTATAATATATATAAAACAGACTTCTAATATAAGGTCAACTTTTTAGATACCCATTCCCAAATGCTCAGTAGTATGCTCTTTTTTCTATAAATAAAGGATAATTAAAGCATTGTGTCCATCTATTCTAAATGGCATTTAATGAAACTGAGTATACATTTTTAAACTTTATTATTAAAGAAGCCAGTGAAAAAAAGAAGAAAAAAACACAAGAGTTTATTTAAAGCAATGTACATTTAGGATGGATTAATTTACAATCATTCAAAGTATGTCACTAAATTCCTTGTTCTTTAGCACAGCTTTACCCCAACTTCATTAAAATAGTTATCATCCTGAGTCAGCGTTTGTTAATTGATACAAAGATGTATTTTGTGTTACTTGCTTATTGAGTTTTTGCTTTCTTTTGTTTTGGTTGTTACTCCACAGTTCGGTGGTCAGGCCTACAGTGATGTGGAGCACACGTCAGTCCAGTGCAGGGCCCTGGATGGGATTGAGTGTGCCAGTCCTAGGACCTTCCTACGAGAGAATAAACCTTGTATAAAGTAAGTGTTATTTTGAATGGGGTAATTGATAGTTGGATGGAGGTAGAGCTCTTTTCCTTGTGATCTCTTGGTGTGACTGTTTCTTTTACCTTAAGTGTTAAATGGGCATCAGGATTACTCTGTGCATAATCCATGGATGGGGGAATATAGGTATAACAGAGAGGACTCTGGCCTTCAGACCAGAGGCCGTAAGTCCTAAATGTCTCTTTCACCAACTACCTACGTACCTTTGGGCACCCAGACTCTCTATCCCTCATCACAAAATGAAGGAGTTGGACAGAGCATCTAGCTCCAGAATTCCCATGACAGGCAGAAATCCTGAGAAAATAGCCTTAGTATTTCAGGAATAAAGGTTTTATCATGAAAAGTATGGACTTCTCTCACTGAAAATAAGTTTATCTTAAAAAGAATTAGGCTTATTTCTCTAAGTTCTGCTTGAAGGCACAGAATTTACTTCTACCACTTGCTAGTGAAGAGTCTATGACTAGGTTTAGTGATAATATTAGAGTAACTGCTATTGCTATTGCGTATCATCACAGTATGTAAAACAGAAGTCTTTATGAAGATGTCCCCGTTTTTAGTTGCCACAAGACAGCAAAAAAAGGTACAAGGAGATCAGTGTTTCATGTAAGGAAGGAAGACACTTCATTGAAGAACCACATTCAGAACTGCAGCCTCAGGAAAGGAGCCTGTGTGGGGATGAGTGGGGCCCAGACTCCACTCCTGCCAGGATGCCTGTTGTGCTAACGTGCTTGATAATTTCCTGTCCAGTCCAACTCAACATTTGTTTTACAGGTCCTCCATATCTTAGCAATTTCGCTTTTGAGACTCTAGACCGGTGATTTTCAACCGCGAGCCACAGCACCCTGGTGTGCCACAAGAATTCTTAAAGCATGCAATACCTGATTATTTAGCCAGGAGCACTGACCTCTTTTCCCTTAGATTTTGTCAAATAAAAACATGACAACAGCCAACACAACAAGAGACATCCAATTTGAATGAATTGAAATTATATTTATTTTTTTGTCAGATCAGTAGATTGCTGTGCTGCAGAATTTTAGTAATTAGTCAATGTGTGCGTGAAATGAAAAAGGTTGAAAATCGCTGGTCTAGACCTACAAGAGATCTTATGGAGGGGGGTGGCAGGGGTAAGGGAATAAGAGGCCACAGACCAGCGGTCTCAACCTGTGGGTCGCAACCCCTTTGGCAGTCGAACGAGAGGGGTAAGGGAATAAGAGGCCACAGAGCAGCAGTTCTCAACCTGTGGGTCGCAACCCCTTTGGCAGTCGAACGACCCTTTCACAGGGGTCGCCTAAGACCATCCTGCATATCAGATATTTACATTACGATTCATAACAGTAGCAACATTACAGTTATGAA